TTTAACAAAATTTGAAAGAGTTTTATAAAAGAACTGGTAAAGCATGGAAACGTGGTTACCTCTTGTATGGTCCTCCTGGCACTGGCAAGTCTAGCCTTATTGCAGCCATGGCCTATCATCTCAACTATGACATCTATGACTTTGTTCTCACTGCTGTTCAAGACAATAGCGAGTTAAAGAATTTGATCCTTGGCATGTCCAACCGTTCCATACTTGTGATTGAGGATATTGATTGCACGATCAAGCTGCAGAACCGAGAAGAAGATGGGGAAACAGCTAAGAATGGAGATAATAAGGTTTGTCTTTCTGTTTTAATATATCATTCATATTAAAAGCTTGGTCTCAATTTTCATCACAAACAGCCAAAGATATAACCACCTAGCACATAGATCAATTGACACAAAGTTATTCCAACTTAACAAGTAGCATCAACTTGGAATCCTAAATATACAACTATGTTGTTAGGTTTAACAAGATTGTCTTGTGTGAAGGATACTTGTCCTCTTTACTTAAAAAAAGAAAAAAAAAAAGAAAAAAAAAGTGATACATTAAAGCCTAAAAGATTATAACAAATATGAACATCAATGTGATCCATCTGTCTCTTTCCATGTCAACAATCTCCACATACTTGCAATTTCATATTATCTTGTAAATAATAACATTATATGTGTTTTTCAACAGGTGACACTTTCAGGACTTTTGAATATTATAGATGGTCTTTGGTCATGCTGTGGAGAGGAACGCATTATTATCTTCACAACCAATCACAAAGAGAGGCTGGATCCTGCTCTGCTGAGGCCTGGGAGAATGGACATGCATATTCACTTGTCATATTGCAACTTTTCTGCTTTTGAGCAATTAGCCTTCAATTACCATGGCATTTCTCAGCACAAACTCTTTGAACAGATTGAAGGGCTTCTGAGAGAAGTCCAAGTGACTCCAGCTGAAATTGCAGGAGAGATGATAAAGATCTCTGATGCAAAAGAAGGCCTACAAGACATTGTCAAATTCATCCACAACAAGAAAATGCATGCTGCAGAACATGACTCAAATTGACCAGAATAACAAAGATCATGAATTAGGTGGAGAAAATTCATGATAAGATAAAAAATAAAAATAAGGGATTGAACCTCGTGCTCAGCTATTAAAGAGAAATTAATCTTCTACACTACCCAGTTTCAATTGTGGCTATGATTTTGTTTATTCTTCAAGTGCTAAATGTTGCCACATATGGTGTCAAAAAAAGAAATGTTGCCAAATATCTGCGTCATCTTCATATGTCATGCCGGACTAATTTTTTTTATAAAGTCCTTTATCTCCTTAAAATATCATTGTAGTTACACTTTCCATGCTCATAAATCAAATTATGAATTATTAACAGAAAGTGGGCACAGGATTGGAGGGGCAAAATGTGCAATATCATAAAGAATGGGGAAAAGTTTAATCTGCTTCATCATCTCCATCTTCGTCTCCGTCTCTTGTGATCAAAGGTGATCGTTCAATTGATAAATTTTCTAATGAAAAAGTTGAAGATTCTTGCATACCTATTTCAGCATATAATTCCATTATTGGCATCACATTCTGGCTCTGAAATGCTTCTATCATGCATTGTACATCATCATCGTCACTCAATTCCAATGAAGAATATATGTTGTTATCA